ATATATATATATATATTTAATTTAAAATAGGAAAAAAATTATAATCGATCAATGGAAAGATAATCATCAGAAAAGAAATAAAGATTCTACTTCTCCTCTAAAAATATAGAAATTTATCTTCATTCGAAAATGACACAAGCACGATAAAATAGTTTTAACTATTTTATAAAATATAAATCTTTTTCTTTACTTTTTTTCCTCTCTGTTTTACACGACTCTAATCTAAATCGTCGAAGACAACATTCCAAATCTAAATCGGTCGAATAAGTAATATCAAACGGTACAACATACATCTTGTTTTACATCGTATTTGAGTTTTCTCGTGTTGCAATGGCTCATTCGAATGAAGCTAGCTCCACTAATACCGAACAGGGCTTCCAACGAATTAGAATAACAAATTGAGAGTGCAAGGGGAGTAATTGTGAGAGTAAGATGTTGACAAGATGTTTGCAAGTGTTGGAGTCGGGTGCAAGGTGGTCATTTTGAGGTGTACAGGTGGTAGTAACCAAATATGGCTGGTTAGAAACGTAGAATTCATTATAACTATAATTCGAATACGAGATGGAACAGGATCTTGTCTTAGATCTTTGCTCGTCGTATGTTATTGTCTTGGGCTTATTGCGTGTACGTAATGCAAATAGATTTACGGGAATGAAATTATGAAACATAATATTTATACTTCTCAGATAATTGTTTATTCAAATTTTGTCGTTCGAGCTTGTGATTTTTGCAATTATATTCATTCGATCTTTAAATAAAAGGAATTCAGACAGAATATTATTTAATTTAGATGATTTTATATTGTGTCGATAATTGATTTTTCAATGCATGTTTTATTTATAGCTATTATTATTTCTTATGTGTTGTTTGTATTTCTAATATGAAAGATACGTGGTATAGAAAAAACAAATAAATGGCTACGAAGAATTAGAAAAATCATTAAAAAAAAAAAAGAATATGGCGAGAATTTAAAGCTACAAATCAGACACGATTTAAGAGAAGTTTCGAAAAATCCAATCAGAAAATCTGTATGTATATTTTTCTAATTTCTTCTTCTCATTTGTAAAAAAAAAAAAAAAAAACCCAATATTTTTACAAAATAATACAATCCATTCCTTTAGAAACACATTTCGAAAAGAATATAATAATTTCAAATTTGACGACAATAGTGACATACTAAACTTTGCCATTTGACCAAAAGTTCACCGTAATCTAACAAGAAATGGAAGAAACAAATCGAGGTGTAAAAATGTTTAATGGAGAGAAACGTGGAAGGCCAAACACCTCTATTAGAACGAAAGATAAAAATCGATAAAAAAAACTCTTAAAATCCCAGGAAACTAGCTAATAAATCATATTCGTTTCATATTTCACGGAAACTTTTGTAACTTTCCAAAGACTAACTCGAAAGACATTTTTCGTTTTTTCTTTCCTTTTCCTTCTTTTTTTTCTCTCTTTTTTTCATTTCTTCTACTTTTTCTTTCTTTCTTTCTTTCTTTTTTTCTTTTTTTTAATATACACAGTGGATATTAGGTTAACTCGCGTGTTTTCTCAGCGAAACTTCTTAAGGTTGTCCAACTTGTAACAGATAACGCGAAACGCTTTAAACGTCTCGAACCGAGACAGATAACGTGAAACCCTCTGAATGCTCGACTCGCAATAAATAACACGGAACATACGAAAGAAACATGGGGCGAAATAGATAGCGGAAACGTTTCGTGCGTTTAAATAGACGGATAAATTCGCTTCGAAGGCCACAGTTACCAATCTGAGCGGCTTTGACAGTTACCGTCTTCGTGGAGTTCCCAATTTATCACTGATTCATCACGTGGAAAAAAATTTGTTGAAAAAAAAAATGGCGGCCAAATGGCTGGCCGATGGGAAGTTGGAAGGTATGAGAATGTGAAAGCGTGGCGTTTTAGAAGTATGCGTTAGAAATTCTGATGCTGAAAGAAATGTTGCATTATCGATGAAGGAAAACTGGTTGCATTTATGTGCGCCGGGATACCGGTATTTGGAATTTATGCTTTTTGCCGGGTTGCATTTTGCGAATTCGTGCGTTTATCCCAGGATATCGAATTTTATCGTTATAACGGTTGGAATAACGATTTTATCGCAGTTTTATTGTGGTTCGGGGGAAAAAGTGAATCTTATTAAACTGTTCGAATATCGATTTGTTATCGGTAAGAAAAATTGACGAAGAATCCACTGAATTAATGGGAGTCAATCGGTGAAGAAACGATCAATTCGAAATACGTTTTCAATTATCCTTGAAATTGATCTTGAATTTGTATGGTGTGAAATTCGAATATACTGATAGATGTATTGAAAAGTAATTACATAAAGATAAATTGGAATCGTTAGAGTTGTAGGAAATAGTTGTTGAAGTGAAATATTAATTGTAGATAATATTTCTTTTTTTTTTCTGTTAAGCTGAAATTTATAATTTATAATTTCGATTCTAATACGATTCCTTTTTTCTTAATTCAATTAATCGTATAGAATAGGAGTAGTAAAATTTAGATATCACTCGATGTTACTTCTATTCGATTCATCTCTAAGTTAACACAATCTTTATTCGTTTGTATCACCGTGCCGCGAGATCGGTTAAAATCGAATCGAACACGTATTTACGTGTCTCGTATCTGGCAAGCATGCAGGCAAAAAGCACGGTTGTTACTCGGTAGGGTTGGCTGTATCCAATTAGCTTTCTCGTTCGACAGCATTCTCAAAACTGCCTCGGTTAATTAATTGCCGGACACCGGATATTCGCCATAATTCTGGTAGCAATTTGGAAATATATTAAGTCGGATGA